ACCCCCCCCCCCCCGCAGACTTTCTTTATTAGATGTGAAAGCAGGGCTGAAAGGGGAAAGTACCCTGCAAGCCAAACTCCAGGACAGTTCCTGGAGCTCCGACGCCCCCAGCCTTCCCCCCCAGAGAGAGATTAGTCTGGGATTAGACAGAGCCACCAAGTTCAAAAAACAAAGTCTCTTGACGTGTAGTTAAAACACCACCATGGCCAAGCTGATGAATTGTCACTGGGGGAAAAAAATGCAACTTGCTTGGAGGTAGGGCTCTGGCTCAGACTTGAGCGCACAAAAGGGAAAGACCTGGGATTTTTCCCTTCTGGCCAGATGTTACCAGGGGAGACAAAGGCACCGGAGGAGGTGAACGGTGAAGCAGAGCAGAACAAGCCACCGAGGAAACAAGGGCAGCCGGAAGAGATCCTCGTGGCTTGATGAGAAGCAGGATTTAAGGGTGTACGTATGCATGCACATGCCGGTAGAGGAGACTCTCGCATGTAGGCAGGAAATGTTGCATCCCCCGAGCAAATCTCTGCAGCCGAGGTACTTCAATGCCTTGCTCATCACTGAGCTAGCCAGCCCCCTTGCAGTACTGATGTTCCTCAATTGTCCCAGCAATGTGGAAAAGCACTGTCACCCCCTTTGTACCCACGGGTTGCTGCGGCCCAGAGGGATGAAGTGAATTGGCCAAGTCTCAAGGGGAGGCGGTGGCAGAGAGCGCATTTGAGTTACAAATCCCAGCTTGTAACCTAACTGCCGGAGCATGCTAGGTGAGGGGGACAAAAATGAACTCCCAGCTCCCATTACATTGTAGGACGCAGCAGGGAATAGCCATGCTAAGGGGAGTGCGTGCTACCCGAGGGCGCTCAGGCTCACAAGGCATGTGGTGACCACAGACTGCTGCTGCAGTTAGGCAGGAAGTGGTGAGCAAGCGAGTGCGGGTTTGTTTTTTCGGAGCGACCAAGACTGACAGCTGGGGGAGATACTTGAGCTGACAATTATGGCAGAGTTTAGCCCCCCAGCACCTGAAGCACAACAGGAAGCTGCGGCTGAGCAGAACAGGTGCTTTGCAGTGAGAGATATCACATTTTGGAGTGGCAAGCAGGATTTCTGCGTTCTTTCCTCTGCTTTTGTGGCTGGCGGATTCACTTCTCTCTCTGCCTCCGTTTTCCTACCCAGGTCAGAGCGGGTGTCTCTAGATGGCAAGGTTTTTGGGATAAGGACCAACAGACAGCCCCTAGCACAGCGGGCTTCTGGCAGCTCCGATAATGTAGAACTGCTGCTATATATAATCTGCCCATCTGGGAAGGTAGCGAAGACTCATCATTAGCACTAGGTCGCAGCCTGGAGGACCCAGCGATAGGAAAAGAAAGCAAGTCTTACTTGGTGTTGAAAGAATGGAAATAAAAGCCTCTGGCAGCTGAAGTATCCTAAACCCTTTCCCCAACACAATAAAGGTCATTGAGCTATGGCAAGGCAACTGGGTGGCCCATACAGCCACACACGAGACATTATGCTCCACGGGGCTAAGTCAGTAGTGACCCTTAAAGAGAACCGTTGTCAGGAAACACGATCTGCTTAATCGGCTAAGATGAGTTGGAAATTTTATAACCAGCCCAGAGCTCTCCAGCACCAGGTCTCTCTTCAGAGGGACCCTCATTCCCCTCCAGCGCAAAAAACTAAAAGGTGAAGGTCTGAAACGTCTTTGGATCAGCAGGGTTGCTGAAGCAGTCCAGATGGGTATAACTCGCCTGGCTGCACCTGGACTAGCGGAGTCAGAGCTCCAGGGACTGGCACCTCCCCAAGGCACACAGCAGGGGATGGATGCAACGCATCTGTGGGGCACTCAGGTGGGAATCACCATATATACCACCTCTGCGGCCTCTCTCCAAACTACTCCAGCACTCTGCCAGCTTGGGGTGGGCTGAAAAAGGCACTGGATCAGGAGTCAGCACACACTGGTTCTGTTCCTGCTTCTGCCACCCACCTGCCAACAAACCGGGGTTTCCCTTCTAGGCGTGTATCCGCTTTGTCTAGTTGGTTTTTCAGGGGGCAGGCTCTCTCTTGGGCCCTGCCTGCAAAGCCTTTTACTGGGGAGACAGCTTCCCCTGGCCAGAGCTCTTTCACTGGGATATCCTGCACCCGCTCGCTGAATGCAGGGAGTTGCAAGGAACCTTGCACATCTGTGCTGCATCCTTGCCAGCAAAGCTTTGTTCAGCAGTGCAGATCCCCCCTGGCTCCCAATGCATCTATGCTAGGACAAGTTTTTTCAGTGAGGCTGGGTTTAAACATAAAAGGTGCCCGTGCTGCAGCAGTTCGCTTGAATTAGTGCACTTGAGCTACTTGGCTCGGGTCTGCCTCACTGGAGAGAGAAGCCTCAGCGACTGGCGGCTGATGTGCTGCAAGTCCGGGGGTGGCATCTCCCGCCGTGCTTCTAGCATCTGGCATCTGCAGCAACTGAACTTCAGCCTGCCCCTGTATCAGGGCCACCAACCTGACCCTAAAGCATCGCTTCAGTTGAGACTGCGTGTGCGTATGCAAGCTAGGCAGAGGCAAAACGGGAGTTGTAGCTGGAGCAAACAAAGGCTTTCATGCAGCACAGAGCAGGTCTGATTCTCTTTGCGTGATGGCAGCAGCTTGAAATTTCAGGCATTACAACACCCCAGGGACTGAGTAATGCATGAGTCTCGCCCCTACTTTGTAATTATACTATCAACTGCATATGAGCAGAGTCCAGCTTTGGATTGGCCCCCTATTTAACAGGGGGCTGCCTGGTTAGGCCCATGGTATACAGGGGTCTGCACTCCAGTCTGCTGTCTGAAGAGGCATGCATTTCTCCAGGTGCTGGAGGAAGTGGAGCTCGGGCACCCCCACCACCCAGCTCCAGGCAGCCCTGACGATGAATCATGTTTGCTTTGGGCGTGATGCCTTCCAAGGGCTAAATGACAGTCTGCCGGGCAAGAGAATAATTTACTAGGCTGGAAAACATAATGTGTTCTGTTTATAAGTCACGGGAGAAGCTCCCCGCCTGGTCACTTGGGAACAGTTATATGCAAAGGGAAGAGTAAAGAGACAAGACTCTGAGCAAGCAGAAAGGAGTTTGCACAAAGGGATGGTCTAAAATGTACCAGATCCCTGGAATTCACAGACCTCCCCCCAACATGGAAAGAAGTATCTTGCCTAAATCAGGTTTCTCAACCAAACATGTGACCTTTTTCTCGACAGTTGCAGGTAGGAACTTGCAACACATTTCACTTCCCCAGCAACCCACCGCAGTTTCAAGAGTCCTGGCTCATTTTCCAGGGGGTATTAGAATAGCCAAGTCTTTTGCCAGTAGCTGATCAGATGTCAGCAGTGCTGTCTACCGCCCATTGACTCACAGTTCCCAAAGCCCCATCCGGACTGGGGATCAGCCCTTGGAAAAAGCTTGCACCTAGGAACAATTTATTGCTACGAGGTAGGAATTAGCTCAGTCGCGCCCGAATCCCCGAGACGTGTACATCCCTCCCTGTCCCGCTGGTCTCAGCACCTAAGACGTTCCAGTCTCCTGCTGGGGGATTTCTGTTACGTTTAGTGGGACCAGCTTTGCATTCAAAAGGGAAGTTTTTGGAGGGGACAGTTCCCTTTAACATTTTTGCTCCAGTTTGGCGAATGGACCTGCGACACTACAGGCTCAGCTCGTCTGCACACCAAACTGTGGGTCTCACAAACTGGAGCAAAAGCCACCTGGGATCATAACACAGGGCCATCATCACGGAGCTTTTTTCTATGGGCCTAATTTTCATGGACTCACCACAGCAGCACGAAGGTGGGCATTTACAACCTCCTGGATGAATCCCTCGTGCAAAGAGCATCAATGGTCCCTGCATCAGGGCCACTGACTCGACCCTAAAGTATCACTTAACCTGAGACTGCGTGTGTGTATGCAAGCTAGATAGGGGCAAAACTGGAGTTGTAGCTGCAGTAGGCCCACAAAGGCATTTACACAGCACAGAGTAGGTTCGACTCTTTGCATGATGATAGCGGCTTGAAACTCCAGGCATTACAACACCCCACAGACTGAGTAATGCATGAGTCTCACCCCTACTCTGGCTTATAATTATACTATAAAGTGCATATGAGCAGATCCCAGCATTAGATTGCACCCCCCCCCCCGCTATTTGGGGAATTCGGGCAGGTAACAATTTCTCCATCAGTCCTGTCCCCGAGCCCATGGCACGTAGAGTCTCTCCACATCAGACTCAGCGGAGCCTTAGCTGCAAGTACCTAAACCCGCTTTCCCATAGTCCATCACTTACCATCCGTGCTGGCATCGTCTACCAAGATGATCTCCTTGAGTAAGATGGCAGGAGAGGAATACAGGATGCTGTACACGGTGCGGAGCAGGGTGGACCAGGCCTCGTTGTGGAACACAATGATGACACTGGTGGTGGGAAGTGGTGGGCAGCGCTTGAACTTCTGGTCGATGCATCTACAAGAGACGGGATAAGAAGTGTGTACAAGAGACGCAGAAGTGTGTGGTCACGTCCAGGCCAAGATTAGCTTTGTGGCTGCCAAGGGCCAAACCTCAGAAGCATTTACAAGTGGGAAAAAATCCTCAAGACAAGCCTCCCCCACCCTTTTTTCTCCCCCAACAAGGACAAAAAGCAGGTAGGTGAAGCCTGTGATAAGTGTCGGTCAAGTTTTCCAAGTCATTTGTTCAAGAGGGGAAAAATATGCCTAAAAAATTCCAAACATCTCTTATATTTTTCAAGTGACATGTGTCGCTGCTTCTCTTCATGACAACTTTGACTTTTCCATCCAAATGGCTTCAGTCTGAAGAGGGATTTTAAAAAGGATTAAAATGGCTGGAATCAAATTTAAAAAAAATAAATCAATCTTTATTTGACCAAAATGAAAACCAGCCTTTCAAAGCCTGTTATTCACCAGATCCTAAGAATCCAGGTTTGAGCAGATCTGATCGATATACTCCTGATAAACTCTTTGCAGATCACCTAGTCCAGGGAATCGAATCTCTCTTTACATGCAGCTTTGCAATGCAATGCCAACATGAATCCAGAAATTCATGAAAGATATTCCTGCCACCTGATTTTGCAAGGACATCCTTGCCAGGAGAGAGAGTTAGGCTCCTCTGAAGTGTCGTGACTCCAAATGTTACGTGACCCTTCAAAACCTTTCGTTGTTTCACTACATATGCTGCGTATACATAATATATAGCGAGAGATTAAACTGAGAATCTGTTATACTGCATCTGGAGTAAGAAAGCCCTGCGTTAGCGCCCGTTGGCAGTCAATTAAAGAACAGCAACTACACTTGATGTGAGCCGATGAGAGGCCGGGAAGCGATGTTGCTTTCCAGTACATCTCAGTGACGCTTGGGATGCTCTGATCCAAGAGGAGAGGGCCAAGTAGAGACTTGGACTGAAATAATTTGGGGCTTAAAATAAGGAAAAAAAAGGAAGGAAGAAAGAGGACCCATTTTAAGTTGCCTGCGTGCGCCCCTGTCTGAACTTCCCAGCCGGGGCGTGAATGGCTCCATCCCACGCCACATACTTCAGCTGCACATCAAAAGGGAGACTGTTCCACATGGCAGATCAGGTTCTGCTTCTGCCTCAAAAATCAAACGCGGACGGCCCTTCCCCTCCGAGCCCGTCCCCCCGCCCCCGGCTCTCTGGTGTACGTTTCGGTTCTGGAGCGCTTTGATTGAAATGGGTTTCTGCCTTTTCTGGTTGAGCGAACAACGTGCTTGCCCTCCCCAGACACAAAGCCTTCCCATTGTTGCTGCCACACCTGCTAGGCAGAGAGAGCCGTCCTGCTGGGGAACCGTCTGCCCATCAGGTCTGGGTTTCCAACTGCTATTCAAGCTATACCGCCCCCCTTGCAAAGCTTTTCCTTACCCACCTCCTGACAAGGGGGCAGGCTGCCCTCTTAAAGTGCATTGCTGGAGACTGCAGGGAAAGCCCGGGCGAGTTTCTCGCGTTTGATCCCTTCTTAACCCCCTGCCGTAACCCAAGACCACTCAGCTGCAGAAGTGAAATGGAGGCAGCGCTCCCCAAGAATCAATGCAAGAAGGAAAAAAAAAGGAATCAAGCAAAACCCAGGGCTGCCTGGAAAAAGGGAATTAGGTGGTTTTTGAAACAGGTAGATCTTTGAAAGAATAAAACTTGAAGGAAAGGCCGTCTCCAAGGGAGGCAGGGCCAGAGTTACTAAAAAATAAAGAGGGAGAAGAATTATTGCCCCAGGCTTTTTGCTCAGAGAAAAGAGATCTTTCTTTAAGAAGCAAAAAAAAGTTGCTGGGTGGAGATTGCTTCTAGCCTCCCCGACAGCCCCTGCAGACAGTCAAGAAGCAGGGTCACCGTCGCTTGCTATCCCTTGCCGTCCTGCCTTTGGGATGCCCGGGGCAGGCAGCCACGGAGAATATTCATGTCTTTCCCCGGGCAGCCACAGACAGGGGCTAGGTCAGGCGCTCCTGCTGCTACACGCTCTCTCCGGCTGTAATATTCAGAGCATGCAGTCTGGGTGGAGCCTGCACTAATTGCACCTGGGGGAACTAAACAGAAGGGGAAAATTAATCTGGATACAGTAGTGCGAGCCCTTCCTCCTGACCCCCTCCCATTAAGTCTGGATGAAAACACTCCATCTTTGTCTGAAGCGAGCCAAACCCTGCTCTCGATGTAGTTGCATCAGCGCAGCTTCTCTCAAATGGGCAAATCTCCAGAGAAAGGGAGGCTATCTCCGCTCACTAATTCAACGGGGCTGAATCGATACAGCTCTGCCCTCCTGCACCCGTGTGCGTGAAGCCGGTGCCTAGGTCGAAGGGAGGGAACGGGAGCGGGGAGCTCAGCGTGAACAATGCTGCAGCGGGGAGATCGCCCCTCGCACGGTATGGCTTTTCCGACATACCGCCACAAGCTGGGATTGGTCTTCATCCAGCAACCCGATCTGCCCTGGGGAGATGTTTTGGGTCTGCGGTACTGATGGCAGCACCCAGATGAGAAGTGCTGATGCAACTGCCTGTACAAGGAATGGTGCCTGTCACGTACATGACTGGTTTAACCAGGAAGCCCTTAATGAAGTGGCTTTGGTGGTATCCGCGATAAACAACCAAGAAAGAGAGATAACACGGGACCTCTAGAAACTAGTCAGAATATATTCACAACTGGAAAGGAAATGTTTATGCAATCCAAGACCTAGTTAACTCATGCCAGGTACCAGCTTCAGTAAAGACCCTAGCTATCACCCAAGAAGGGAAGCTCTATACAGGTTTTCTGACGGGGAAAAAACCCCAACATTTCATACTGTCCGCCAGGGAACACTTCAGAGACTCCAGACCCGGAGTGAGATTTCCCTTATTTTCCAGAGCTCTCGACATGTCCTCCATGAGTTTTAATTGCAAGGTTGATTCCCTCAGGTGGCCGCTCTGGGAAGGGAGTTATCTTATCACAGCCCTGAACACTGGTTTGGTATCCATGTTACTGTTTCCACCTGTGCGCGGCAGGTGCAGCAGTTCACAACCAGGCTGAGCAGGCAGGCTCACCTCGGCCAGCAGCCAGACCCGCAGCTACTGCCCTCTGCCCCAGCCCAGGAGCAGGGAGCCCCCGGTTGGCTGCGGGGATGCTGCCTATCCACCTGGCACCAGCTGGAGGCCTGGGTTTGCAGGCCAGGCAACAGTTCTGCTGGGCACGTCTCCTGGTTTTTGGCTTATTTCTGGACTTTGGATCCCCCTGCGGTTCTGTGTCCTGGCTCCTGTCCCCACTTGGGCTCTGTTTTCAGACTTCGCTCTGCAGGCTGCCCCCTGGACTGGCACTCAGCACCTGAACCCCAGATCCTGCCCCTGGACTGTGTTGTAGACCGCTTCTGGATTTCCCCCCAGCTTTGGTAACAGGGCTCCTGCCCTCTGACCCAGCCCCAGGCCCCTGCTTTCCCACCATTAAACCAGATGGCCTGTGCCCCAGTCTCCTCCAGAATCAGACCGCAGAGCTGATAAGGAGCCAGGCCTCCTTTTCCACTGGATCTGAGTTTAGGCAAGTGCGATTTGCAGACCTCACACATTGCTTCAGATCATCAGAGTAAAAGAGCACATGGTCACTCCTGGTTTAGCTTAGCTTGAATTCATTTGAATCAGGTTCAAGTGGAACCCGGATAAGGGTTTACACTGGTTTAAAGACCCTGGTTTATCTGCTAGGGGGTCTACATTTAGACATAGTCTCCATCTAAGACTTGGCCTTCTCAGACCCCTTCTCTCCTACCGCACAGTCCTGGCTGCTGTTCACAGAGGGGTATTCTTACTCTGGAGGTCGGCTGTCAGGGCCCAGAGCCCTGTGGAGAGAGATTCGGTCGCTGGCAAAGGCATTGAAGCAATGCTTCTCATAGCCACGCTCTTTCTCCTTGGTCTCCTCCGGCGTCCACTGGTCCTTCTTAAAACCTTTGCCCTCGGCACCTGGGCTGTTTGGGTCTTGGGGCGGCCGCTCCATCAGCGGTTTCAGCTCTGCTGTCGTATAGTAACCCGGGAGGCAGGACTTCCTGCTTGGCAAAGGCTCTTCTTGCTGAACGGGCGCCCGGATCTGCAGCTTTGGCATGGAGTCCCGAATGTTGTTGACCGCCCCCATCATCATGTCGATCACTTGGTCCTTCCGCTCAACGATGTTTCTCAGCCAGGGCTCCTCACTGCGATCCCCGCTCCCGACATCCCTCTGCATGATGAAGAGGAAGATGACAAAAATGGCCCCCACCACAGCCAGTTTCAGCGGACCGTAGTGTCTGCGGAAGAGCCTCATCTTCAGAGAGGGGTTGCTCGAGTCCTCCTCAGGTCAGAGCTACGTGCATGTCAGTGACCCCATGGACATCAAGTCCTGTAGCAAACCTAGGAAGCAAAAGAAATACCTGTGAACTTTGCCTAAGTCCATAAACTCTGTCTACTGCATGCATGCACCACTGCAAGAGGGGATAGGATTCATCCTAGATATGATACAAATTGACTGTTCCCTACAAACGTTGAACTGCATACGCACGCCCCAGTTCCTTTAGTGAACTCCCTTGGAGGGCCATGGCATGGGAAATATTAACCCCACAGCCTGGGGGGACATCCCACATGACCCTTTTTGTCACCTACCTTGCACCTGCAAATTTGGGCTCAAAAAAAAAAAAAAATTAAAAAAAATAATAAAAAAGCCTCATAAGAAAAGGCTCACGAGATTGTTTTCTCACTTCCAGTTTGGTTTTGGACCGCCTAAGAGCGGCAGTTCCACACCCGTGGAAGCAGCAGCTGCAGCAGAAATGGAATATAGTGGAAACCAAACCAAAAAACCCCTGCGTTTTACTCACAACCTTTTTTTTGTTCTTTTCCTGGTTTTGACCGCAACACCTGGTCGAAAGACCCATCCTTCATTTATGAAAACGCAGAATTCCATAGTGATGTCATCACGTTCCTTCGCTTTATTAATTTCCCCTGAATCTAAGAGATGTAGATCAAAACCCTGTGCCAGCATCCAGCTGAACCAAAGCGCTCTGAGCTTTCAGACACGCTAATCAGCCATGCGGGTAGTATTACACAGTGCTCCAATCAACAGGAATATATGCCTTTAACCCTCAGCATGGACATTTGCCTGCTAAAAAAAGGACTCCCTACCAAGAAATAAGGAATAAGGGGAGGAGAAAAAAGGAGCTATGGAAATCAGAATGCAATTATATCAAAGGAGGTGGCGAGACAATAGCTTACATTTCAGGTTGGTTAAACAGGATGGTGCATCAGCACACAAACTGATTTGGAAAACAAAACCTAGTGCTACCATTGGGAGCTGGATTTACTGATATCCAGAGTGGCTTTGGCCATTCAAAGAGATGCAGATAGTGCAGTCAGGAGTAAGGGCTGTTAATAGGAACAGGTGATACATGCAGAGTGGTACTTGTTTCCCCTTTATGACCATGCCTCTGGGACTGGGAAGGTGCTGCAATTGTCAGGGCAAGAACCCAGGACTCCAGAGACTCAGGGTCCATCCTTTCCTCTGCCACAGACTTCCCATGTGACCTTAGTCAAGTCATTTAATTACACCGCGCCTCAGTTTAACCATGAAACCACCTCTCCTTTCCTACCTTAAAGTGGCCTGTGAAGGTAAAATTCATTAAAGGGCCGCATGCACTCTGATGCCACAGCAACTGGGGCTGGGTAAGACAGAGAAGGAAAACATACAGGGTAGAAATATCAAGGCTGCTGTATGAGGTCTGACGGTAGTTCCAGAGTTAGCTTTGACCAGCCAGATTAGGCGCTCCTAGTAACACAGCTGTGACTGCGCAGTGCTCAGTGTGGGCTGCAAAGCCTGTCTGAGAAGCCAGGCAAACTCACAGTGACCCCTGCTGCCCCAGGTAGATGGCTGGCTCCTTTAAACCTAGCTCGGGTAAGTCTCCACAAACTTCAAAGGGCAGACACCTTTTGCAAAGAGGCATTCCCCAGCTCTCCCACTCATTTTGGATTCCCAAAGGTTTTAGCCTTTTTTCAGTCTCATGAATCATATGGACAAGAATGCATCCTGATGGGGACCATGCCACCTGCTCTGAGCCCAGAGGGGAGGGCCAAGGGGAGCACCACCTTTCCTGGCCTTTCTTGGCTTTGCGAGGGTTTTATGGGCCGAGAGAAGAGAAGTAGTAGTGCTTCCAAAAGACGGGAAAAATATGATCGGCAACCCCAGAGGTCACCACTTTCAGTTATACAAAGGGCTGCGGGATCAAGGACAACCTGGCAGGAGCATGGTGCACCAGCCTACAGCCCTACCAGGTTTCACATTCAAGGGCATCTGTTAGCACAGACACATTGACCCTGTCTTTGGCAGGACTTGCCACTGGAGACTTCCATGCGAGAGTACCTGTTTGTGCTCGCTGAAAGCAATCAGGTCCCTGACAACTCTCCCCCTACTTATTTGATCTAGATTTTAAATGATATAAGACTCTGGAAGCCTGGATGCATTCATTAGACACTGTCCTGAAACCCCAGAAGCAGTAAAATAATCACTCCAAAAGAAACACAGTCAGCCACCCACCCACAGAAACTCCTTTGTGTCTCTTCACTGTTAGGAGCAGCAAACCCCCTTACGAACACCCGATCCAACAGGCAGGATAAACCTCAGGCAACCGCCTTGGCTGAGTGCAGCTGGGGAAACCAGTTCCAAGCATCCTGGAGCCCTGGGAGGTTGCATCCAGCCTAGGTTTAACTAAGGACTATTGTTGAGCCTGCATATGGTTCTAGGTGGGGGCTTTCTCTGTCGAACGATGCAATGAAGCATTGTCAAGGAATTTTCTCTGACTTCGGAAGCAAAGCTAGAGATGCCAGGTTACTTTACAGAGCGCACCACACCTGCCAGCTGCTCCCCAAGATGTTTCCAAGCTGCTTTCCTAACGCTGTGGCCTGATCAGTCTGCGTGCTGGACTCAACCTCAGCACGGGCGCGCGGCCCAGGAGGTGGCAAGCTTCCACCAAGGTTGTCTATCTGCAAAGGAGCGGGTGTAAAAGGAGCTGCATTGTTTTTTGTGGGAACTTTGAGATATCCTCCCAGGATTTTCTTTTTTTTGCGGGGGGGAGAAGAGTTGCTGTAGGAAGAGACTCCCCCGAGAAGTGGTGCAAGCACCTACTCTGGAAACGCTCAAGAAACACCTGGATGCTCACCTTGCTGGGCTCATTCGACCCCAGCTGACTTCCTGCCCCTTGGATGGTGGCTGGACCTGATGATCTTGTGAGGTCCCTTCCAGCCCTCATGTCTATGAAATCTATAAAACTTTCTGTTTTAGAGAAGCATTGCAGCCATCTGTCTCTGGGCTGAGGCATGCACCCCATCCACTCACCCCTCACGCTCGGTGCACCAAAAACACCGCAAATGAAGCAAGGTAGTCCCTGTAGGACAGGCTTGAGAGATCACCATTACGAGCCTCCACGCCCCTGCTCAGCATTGCTCTGCCACCTCCTTTCTAAGATGTGAGGCATACTTAGCAGGAGTGCGAGGGGTGGGAAACATCTGATGCCAGCGCTCCTGGCTTCAGTACAGAGGCAACATGAATCAACCCTGAGAATCCGAGAAATACAAACCATTAAAGCGACCAAAAGTCTGCAATAACTCCCCCGGACTCTCATTCCTAGCTTCAGCTCATCACAAAATGCTCAGTAAAAAGTTGAGCCTTGCAAGTCATATCCACGCTATTCTGGGCTAGAGAGCACGGTCTTGTGTTTCAAGCCTGGGAGCACTGACGGTCAAGTCCTCCCGGTGTGACCTAGCTATGCCTCAGTTTTCCTATATAAGGGGAATGCAGCTGGCACCACCGACTCACACGGGGGCATCACAAGGATGAACATGTTAAGGACTGCAACGTGCTCAGCCTCCATCGCTGCTGCCATAGACAGCCTAACATATGTGAACCAGCAGGCCCCACAGCACAGAGGGAATATTACCATCCTCCCCTGTTTTAAGAAGGAGGGACTCCAGACTGCCTGTGGTTGTATCGGACATATGTGTGCCATAATGAAGTGCCAGGGTGCCTTCCTGCACCTCTTCAATGGGCACTCTACGCTCATAGCAGAGGCTCGCTTCCATGACAGAACGGCTCAGGCACAAGCTAATAGGTATTTTTTTCCCTGGCTGAAGACAGAAATCAGGATTAAAAAAAATATATATATAGGCATCATGCCCCTATCAGACACTGAAAGGCGTGTGCGTGGCATTTCAGATGCCAACGTGGAACCGAAGCCTTTGGTAAGCACTGCCTAAAGTAAACAAAAGAGCCTCTTTAAACATAGTTCCCCAACCCGAGGCATTTGAAGACCAAGTTTCGGGTTTGCCCGTTTGGGACCGGGGCGAAACGTAGCCAGGGTCGGCTTTCACGGAGCTTCGCAGCAAGTCGGCGCTTACCTCCTGTGCCAGTTATGTCTCTCAATACAGGTGATGACCTTGTGGCCTGGAGAGCTGCACCTGACAAACCCTGTTCGCATCCAAAAAGAGCTGTGCGGCTAATTGGCTCCGCAGCTGTCAGTGACAATGCTCACAGGAATTTTCCAGCTCCACCAAGGAGAGGGTCGGTATTAAGACTTGCAGGAAGAATGGGCTCTCATATTCATCCGAGAAAAGCATCCCGTCGCCACCAAAAATGCTTCCCCAGTGTTCAAAACACAACACAAAGTACATGAGTCAGAGGAATGCTTTACCCAATGATTACAAAACTGTTTTTCCTAGCAAAATTCTCGATATACCACTTCCTTACTGTAGAGAGATGACATCACAGACTTTGAAAATGTCCCAAGTTACTTCTATTTCGACGAGTTTTCTTAGTAGGTTTTTCTCTAACGTGTAAAAAGAAAAGAAAAAAAACCCAACAAACCTTCTACGTCTCCTCTAAAGGCCAAAGCGTTGCGACGACAGGGGAACATTTTTAAACGTGCTTTAAAAGTCTGACCCTTGGAAGCCTCTATTAAGAGGCAGTCGATACAATTTAGGGGAACACCCTACAATAGATCATACGGGGTTTTTTGAGAGTGCTGCCCCAGACCATGGGTAACATTTATTAGCTGTTTTTCCAACGGTTAAAACAAACAAAGAAACCCATCACCCTTCCCCTTTCCATCCACCCGAAAGCTACACTGTTCAGCATGAGAAAGCATTAGACACTGGCCGGTCTTACCTTGGCTTGCAGGGACAATCTTCTGTCTAAGCTACAAAAAGCCACGGCGCTGACACTAAGTTAAACTAAAACACCTGCTCCACCCATCTCAAACAGGATGTTCTTTGGTCTCTTCTGGCCAGATAATGATTGGGGTAGGTACTGAAATATAGGGCCAGTGCCAATAATTTACTTTATACGTTATACCAAAGGCAATTATAAGCTATCTGCTACACATTTCAGTCCTGGCCAAAAAAATACCAAAAAAACCAGACCGGTTTCTGCTGGTGGCATCAGACAACAGACATCTTGTATCCTGTCTGAAATAAAATTACATCTTAAAACACTCCGACAAAAGCTGAGTCATTAGGTCTAAACCTGGAGCAGAGACAAGAGATTTCATGTCCCAGGGGTCATCTTCCAGCAGGAAACTTAGTTGCACACTCCTCAAGTTAAACTGGACTTTTAGTTCCCACGCCTCCCAGCCGCCTGCTTCGGGCCTGTCCTCTGCTTGCTTCAGGCATCCACCAGCACTAACCACAATGGCCAAAATAGTTTCAGTTTAAGGCAAAAACGGACCTTGAGACTAGCTGATCTGACCTCAGCCACAGAGCTTCCTCTAAACCCAGCGTCCTCTGTTTCAAGTGCTTCAACACTTGCTAACTGAAGCTTTCCAATCTAGCCATTGCACATGTACCAATTACCTTTCAGAAGCGGCTGCGCTAGGGAGATGCAACTGGTTGATGCTAAAATAAGAACCGCACAGATTATCAGCTTTTGCAGTTCAGGCGGCCGGTTTGATACTACGCGCGAGTCACACAGACAGCATCTCTGAACTTCCTCATTGAAGCTGGAGGTCAAAACGCTGTGCGCAAGCCTATTTTTGCGGTATTTCTGAAACCTGCGAGCTGCTTTAAGAGGAACCCTCCTGCCTCATTCTTGGGACTGCCAAGTGGAGTACATTTCTCTTGGCCTCCCTGATACCGAGTCAAAGTTACAGCCTCTTATTCCACGTGGCACGCAGGAAACAGCTTGGGCTATCCACCTGCATATTTACACAGTCGTGCAGAGATTAACAGCGCCCGTCGCACCCATACCACAGTCAGTCAGGGAACAACTGCCACCACGATAGTGCTGCACGGTGATGTGGGTGGGGATTTCAATGCAAAAGATACTCCTGCATGAATCCATTATTGCTCTGTAGTCGCATATCCGGGGAGCCTTTTCCTTTTACCACAATGACTAATTTCTTAAGTCACTGAGCTTGAAAAAAAACAAACCTCTGCAGACTAAAGATTTTTACCCAATATAAGACTCCAGGCTCATGGTTTTAAATGTATTATAGAGGCTCAAAAATAAAAGGGTTTTCCCCACTGGCCAGAGTCTCATCTCAAGGGAAGATCATGCTGTCTCATTCAGTTCCTGCCATGTGCAAAAGCTATGCATTTCTTTTAATCTTCTTCTCCCTGGAATTGTAAAGATGCATCTGAGCTCAAAGGCCAACTCACAATACCCTTTACGTACGGGGAGTTTTATCAGTGATTTGGCCAAGGTCATCTAGGTAGTTCAGGATCAATCCAGGAACAGAAATAAAAGTGATCCGAGTCCCAGGTGAGTCCAACTAGGGTGAATGCAAGTGTGGTGTAGACAAACCTGTCCAAGCCAGCTAGCTCAAGCATTGCTAGAAGTCCTAATCACGGACTTCAGTGGGAGCCAATGTAACCAGCTTTCCAGGTAAGAGCAAGTGCTGCGTAGGCACACTCCACGTCAGCAACTCCAATAAAGTACCTGTGCATGGCTTTATGTGTGTTATTTTAAACACAGGGTTAAATCACACCAAAGTAACTTCCCGTTACAGTTTTGCTTCACGAAGGTCAGATGCTTTCCTGCCTGAAGTTTAAGGATATTTCAAGGCTGAGGACCCCCAACTTTTCCTTCCTGCACACCTTGCTGGTTTTCAGCGCGATGCCCCCGGATCAGAGAGCAGCCTCACATTCTGGCCATTTCAAACCGCCAGGACAAATATGCAGCTCAGTTAGGGACATCAGCCCAAGGGGGCTCCCAGCAAGGTGCTAACCACACAAAAGCACTTCCAGTTTCTGCAGGGACACTGGGTATATATTGCGGGCAAGTCTGCCATCTGACTGGTGCATGGGGTGCCTTCTCTTGTCCAGAGGCAAAGGTTATTTTGTGATATCTTGTACCATGGTGGCTACAACACTCCACCCCCATTTTTGCTTCAGAGCACAAAATCTCTCTCTCAAGGGTAACAACTTCCAGCATACCATATTTTCTCACATACAACATGCCCCGACATATACCACACACCTTGTTTTTCAAAGGTACAATGAAAAAAAGAGATTTTTTCCAGAGTTATGGCTGTATAAAACAGGGACAGGACCTCATCATCACCTGACTCACTCTCCCTTTCCTGCTTAACTAAAGCTGAAACCCTAGCCGCTGCTAAAGACCAGTCTCCGTGAATGGATCTACTCTTTTGAAAACTTCTGAACAGTCTCCAGAGCAGTGAGGAGGAGAGAGATCAGGAGTAGCTAGCAGACAGCTAAATTGCCTAGAGAAGATGAGCTTGAGTAGTGGAACATCAAGGCCATTAAAAGAAATGCGGTTTGTTAACGTGTGGAATAAAGAGCAGCGAGCTATCAAGTCAGCTGCCTCCCTCGGCTGCCTGCATGGAAATGCTGGAGCTGCTGTTGTGAGCTAGGATCAAAGCAGGGTGCTTCTATTTTGGGCAGAAAACCAGGTTCCCCACCTAAGACACTCATTCCAATTTTTGGGCAGCTGATATGGGGTGAAAATTTGCATGTGTTTGTGAGAAAATACAGTCTCTTGCTCTCTCTAAACACCACAACACCCTTCATTACCAGCACCACTTTTCTCTGTGCTCTGAACCCTTCCATATGCCAGACCCTCCCAGCTCTGTTCCTGGACAGCAGATCCTCATTTGCTTGGTCTCCACAAGCAACGGTCACATTCTTCAGCTCAAGTTTAAGTGCCTGTTTTTTAATTCACTAACTATGCATTGTTGCAAAACTGGACGCAACCCCAAAGTAGCATGGGCATAGCCACGTTGTGGTCTCTCCATAGGGCAAAAATTGCATGATTTGCCAAAAAGGTCCCTCTCCTCTCCGCATGCACTAAGCTAATATTCACGATGGATTAATTTAGCAGGAGAGTTTGCCTGACTTGGACTCACCGTCAAATACAAGTACCTGGAAAACTTCGGCTGCATTATTTGCTCTTCGTTAAGTGCTGAGAGTGCTGGGCGCAGCGTAAGATAAACTAAACCTACAGACGAAGAATAAACGTGTGCGTTTTTCTGCTGTCTCTAGTACAAGCAAGACAAAAAAAGTGCTGAGTTTTTAATAGCCCCAGAGAAAAAAAGGAACGGAAAGCTTAGAATAAAGGTCTTTCAAGAAATTAAGGGCATCAGCCTGCCAGTCGGTGACACGAGAGCAGACGCTTAGACCCAAATTCAGAAGGAATGCTGAACTCAAAACGAAACTGCATCAAGTCTCCATGCGACACTCAGGTATGCGTTTGCTCAATGTGCGGGCATTGTAACACTAGGCTCGGCCTGATTTTAGGATTCCTGGCATTCTCATGCACAATTAAAAACAGCCTAGCAATGCAATGCCTTGATAAGGGGCAACTTTTAGTGCAAGCATAATTAGCCACCGGGACAGTTTCCTATGAGAAATTGTAAATTGATTGCTTGGAGTCTTTAAATCAAATCCAGCTGTTGTAAATAGGTGTATATGTTCTAGTTCACAAATTATCAGGCTCAATAGCATTCATTTATGTATGAGGGGAATAATCATTTCCTCCCCTGCAGGAAGCCCTGAGCAAGTTCAAAGGCCCGTGTTATACAAAAGGTCAGACGAGATGATGGTGCTGATGAGATACTTGCTGCCTATAGCAGGCTGGAAACTGCCAGATTAAGCCCTTGCTTTCTGTCCCTCCGACGGCATGCGCTACGCTGCACAAAGAAACCCAGCGAGGTTTCTCTCCCCCCTGCAAGCGCAAGGCAGCCCCAACCGCCGTGCCATTCCTACCTGCCTGGAGACTGCACAATAGCTATGCACTGGGCTGCTCTGCGGGGAGCGGGAAGGGGACTGGAGCGTCTTCTGGCTTCCCCCCAGTAACTTTAAGAGGCAGGTCAGTCCTCCTGGAACAAAGCAGACAGTTAAGCTCGTAATGAAATTTATTCTGTCCCTTTTGAACGCTCTGAACAGAACCGGAGGAGGAGAAACAAAAGATAAATGGGTGGATCTGTTGCAGACCTTTAGCTCCTAGCTTAGCAGGAATGATTTGCAACCTGGGCTGTGGCCGTTCAGGACTACCTGAGCCCAGGAGAGCTCACCACACACCGTGACCCCACCGTGCCACGCGGGTGGTGCCGGGAGGCGGGAGAAAAATAAGTTCCCCCATTCCAAAAAGCAACCTCCGGGGTGCAAAGAAAGCATCCCACCTCTGACGGCTGGAGAGCGAGGACGAGCGAAAGAGCCCCAGAAGATTTGGCTTTGCCATCAGCCATCTCCCTCCCTCCCACCGCCATCGGCCCCCCTCTTCTCCCCGGGCCCAGAGGGGACAGGAGGATGGAGACAACAGCTGGGGCAGACTCTCACGGGCAAGGAGCCCCAAAACCTCTCCCGAGGAAGCCCAGCCCCAGCAGCGCCCTGCCTCCCTCCCAGCACCGAGGACCTCCTGCTCCCATTGCACCCCTGCCCCTACCACCGCCCCTAGCCAGAGCGCGGGGGAGCCCCCGGGGCAGCCTCACCTGGCCGGGCCGGAGCCGCGGGGCCGCTGGCGGCTGCAGGGGGCGGGGGCGAGGCCGGGGGCGG